TGAGCCATTAATTCAAATTTCATCTTCAAATATGCACGTTTCTAAATTTGCTACCATCAGCTCTAGGATTTGGTCTTATTTGTCTACTACACAAGGCAAAGGTCTATAAAGGTCTGTGTAAAATCCACTTCTTGACTGACACAGGGATATCTAGAATCCAGAGGTATCTTTCCCCTTGGAATTTCCAGAATGCAGCAGTCGTACCAGCTATTTATTTATTTATTTATCTATTTATTTATTTTTTTCCCATCATTTGAAAGCCTTCTTAACCTTAAAGGTTCAGTTCCAGAATCACATTTGGTTAGTTTAAGACTAGTCATTCAAGGTCATTTATTTACTATAAAAACTGCTTCCCAGTTACCAGTTAATTGAGACTTCTTCATTAATAATTATTTTATCAGAGGTTTTTTCCCACCACTGCTCATTTGCATGTGAAGAAGTCATCCTGGGAGTGTAAACCAAAAATGGATTTAAGAGTTCAAGTTTAAGTGGAATGACACTTTTTTACCTTGACAAATTGGTCCTTTTCTGGGAAATGCCCCTGAAAGAACTGAATATTGTCCTTTTAAAAGAGTCCATGACCTGCTGCATTTGTAATCCCTGAATTCCATGTTTCAGTCCCATATCTCTAAACCTTGATCATCTCACTCCTAGTCACATTTGGTTTAGATTTGACTTTTCTGTGTTTAAAAAGAACAAGATGTATTATTACTAGTCAGAAGGTATCAGGTCCCAGTATTTTAGCAAAAAAAAACCCCACAAATCTGCCAGAGTGAACAATGCTCTGGCCACGCTGCTATCTTACCAAGGCGGTTACTCCAAATGCCGTTTGCATTTATTTAGAAATTGTCACATTATCTAAGTACTTCCACCTATTAGCTCATGTGATTCCTGAAACACTCCCATATGCCACGATGGGAAGGAAAAGACTATCAGTCATTTGTGCATTTATGTAATGCTTATTTATGGAACACAGCAGACATTCCAGAGACTGGGATGTGCCATATACAGAGACTGAATATGTACTGGTACCCAACAGAGCCGTCTCCCTTTTCTCAGGTGGCTTAGAGTGGTGGGTCATTGATCCCCCCAGGAAGCAGGCATCCCAAAAGGGTCCTGATGCCCGCTTTCATTTACTACTCATAAACTATGAGAAAAGTCTTATCAGACTCATTTTGTGGATGGGGTAACTGAAACTCCCAGAGGTTAGATCATCCAGCTGATGATAAAAGCAGAGTCAATGCTGGGACTTGGGTTTTCAAAGTCCAATGCTGCTGAGAGAATCCTGGCTTCTTTCTGAATAGTGTGATCTCATGTCAACACAGATAGATTCAAGCTCTCCTCTCCAGTTTCCCACATCTCAGGGTTCAGCTTAAGAAGGTGGTTTGTGTAACACACAGCAGATACAGAATGCCTAAAATTAGTCCCTTGAAGGATTTTAACCTCTATACAGGCTCAAAGGAGAGGACAGAGGAAGCTTGGTGCGAGCAGTGGTGTAGGTAGGGTCATGTTTGGAGTGGAGCTCAGAGAGCTCGGTAAGTCACCAGGTCCGTTATTAGAAATGAGTCACTTGTGAGATGGGGCAAGCCAGCCTCAGTACCTTACTAAACTATCGGGAAGCAGGCAGACAACATACTCCCCTCTGGGAGAATAATCCTAATAATAATCACTAAAATTTGCATGCCCCTCTACAGTTTGCAAAGCACTTTCAGACCTGTGTTCTTCATTAGCAATATTGCTTATTGGACTAATTGCAAAAAGGATCGGGATTTGAGAGCACCTCATTTAGTGGTTTTTATCTATCTGTTAAGAGTAAAATCCTTTGTCAAAATGAAATCGTTCACACTACTGTAGTATATAAAACAGATATGAGTGGAACTTCTGTGGTAAGACAGGGACAGTGGAGGGGGACAGCCCACTTTCTTAAGCCTTTGGACTGAACTGTGTGACCTCTATGTCTGGTTCTGAAGGCTCCCCAAGGAACCTCCAGGTCCAATGTCTTGGAAATATTATTTCCCCCATTTCCCTCCCCTCCTCCAAACAAGCTGAAATCCCTGGAGGTCACAGGAGGTGTTCCAGGCCATTCCTTAGTCAGTGTTCTCCAGGAAACCTAAGAGGGCTGCTTTCCCACCTAGTTAGGGCCTCAGGCTCTAACTAGCAGCCAGTTGCCCCTAGTTGTTTCAGGAAAATGTCCTTATGGTCACCGCCAGCCTCAAGGACAGCTCTTCCCTGTTACTGGCAGCTTTCTCAAAGTGCTTGCTCTTCAGGTAAGAGTTCAGTGGCACTATCTTCCTTTCAGACATGTAATCCTTTGAATCCAGACACACAAGCCACAGAGAGGTTAGGTAGTAGGTTAAGACAGTGATTTTCAGCCCCTAAACTCTCCATGAAAATGCAAGGTACTAGGCTCTCCCACCTGAAATATTTACCCTGGAGCAATGGTAAGGCTGTGAATGTATTAAACACCACCCAACTGCACACTTTAGAATGGATAAAATGGTAAAGTTTGTGTTATACTTATTTTAACATAATACTAGTTTTAGAAATTTACATTGGGCCCTTATGTGCTACAAGACCAAGTTCAATCTCCCTGAAACAGTTCACAATCTGGCCTCTATCTCTCTTGCCTTATCTTGCTGTCTTTCATTCAATCTCTTCATGTGATCTAATATTCAAGTCTTTTCCTATACTTGAAGGTTTTTAAACTACCTTCAAGTTCTTACTATATGCATCTATATACATACATCCAGCACTCTATATGTCCAGGACTTTCAAATTATTTCATATATTACTTACTATAGGCATCTATGTAGATATATCTAGTGCTTAATATGTGTGGGACTTTTGAGTCATTTAATCCTCACCAATTCTATGAAGCAGATACTATTACTAGGTCTATTTTATGTTTGAAAACATTGAGGTACATAAGGGCTCATTATCTTTTCAGAGTCATGCAACTAATAGGCAGCCAAGGCAGGATTTGGACCCAGGCATTTGGCTCCTGAAGCCTTGCTATTCTTCACCACAGACTACTGCCTGTGGATGACCTGTCTCCACTGTTTCATTGGAGGAATTCTTTCTCATCCTCTGGACCTGTCTAATGGATCACCTCACCTCCTTTGGGAAGTTTCCTTGGTGTTCTCCAGGAAAGAGTGTGACTCCCTTCTCTAGGACTACAAGACTGATAACACCCGAACATGCATTCAGTCATTTCTTGGTATCCATGGCAACCATGGGGGATTGGTCCCAGGACCTCCCCAAGCATACTGAAATCTGTGGAAGCTCAAGCCCCTTACATAAAAAAGGTGTAGTGTTTGTATAAAACCTACTTATATCCTTCCATAGACCTTAAATCATCCCTAGATAACTTATCACGCACCTATTAATACAATGTAAATGCTATGTAAATAGTGCTTATACAGTATAGTTCAGGCAATAATGATTGTAAAAGTCCATATGTGTTCAGAACAGGTGCCATTTTTAAAACATTTTCTATCTGCAGATATGAAGGTCCAATGGTATTTTGCAGCACGTATTCTATTCTGAGTAACAGCCTCCTTCTGAGTCTGTTCCCTACCCCAGCACGAGATTCCTGAAGTCAAGGCCAAGTCTTATTTATACCTTACCACTCGTGGGCACTCACTACATGTTTTATGAATGGAGGTGTGAGTAGATGGCTGGGTACACTTTTCTAAATTTTTTTTCAGTAAATTACAAAATCTTACCTTGTCTGTGAAATTTCGGCATGGTTCCTTTGAGGGTCCTGCCACAGCCACTGATAACCACTTTCATTTTCTGTATATTTCATCAGGCAATGAGTCCATTTGGATTTACTTTTGGGAGTTTATATTAAAAATAAGCACTGCTCTTGATTTCCAAATATTAAATCAAAGCCTACTATAGGTAGATATGGAATGATGATTCCAAATGTGGGTTTTCATATTTTCAAAGTCAAAACACTTCCCTCAAAAAATGTGACAATATCTGTCCCTCTTTGAGATTTATGGGGTAGAATAGCTGGGGAGAAGTGGATTAATGTTTGCTTAGGAAGGAGTATGAATGAGAGCAAGTGAGAATGGATGGATGTGAGGGTGGATAAGAGGTTGAGTAAAATGATGAGTGGATATGTGGATGGAGTACAGAGGGTGGATGCCCTCAGTCTGTGAATGGATAAATGGAGAAGATGGTGTATGTATGATGGTTTATGAAGAGATGTGAAAAGAATGCATGAAATGATGGATGAGAAGTTGTGTGAGTGGATGAGTAGGAGAACTGGTGTTTGGATGGATGGATAAACAAAAGGATTCGTGGTTGGATTAGTGGATGATCAAGAAGATGGGTAGAAGGGGGTAGATACAGGAAGAATAGGGCATGTGGATGTGTAAGCCCTGGAAGAATCCAAGGAAAAGATGTGTAGATAGGTAGGTGGGTGGATGGGAGTGTATTTGGGAGGGTGAATGGGTGTGTGAGTGGGTGGAACAGAAAGGCGACATCCTGGGAGAGAATGGAGGATGAACACGTGGGTTGCTGGGCTAGTGATCCCTAGCTTTCTAGGAGCAGGAACAAAAATCCTCCTAAGCCAAATAAACTTCACTTCCCGCGGAGGGGAAGAAGAATCAGTTCTCCCTAGCTCTCCTCACTCCCCACCCTGGCCTGGAAAGCACCATTATCCTGGGCAGGACTTCCCCCACTGTCCCAGCTTCTCTCCCAGGATACCCAGCTGCCTGGGAAACCCAGACAATCATTCCCGAGCCTACTCAGAGAAATTTAGCGGGAAAGGAGAGGCCAGAGACTGAATCAGCTGGGCGAGGTTTCAGGACTCAGTCATTCTCCTTCAGGAGCCCGCCTTCCCGGGAGGGCGGGCGGGTAGAGGAAGCCGGGCCCCTGGGGCGCACAGCCGGGGGCGCTCGCGGGGTGGGGTGGTGTGCTCGACGCAGGCGCACTCGGGACAGACACCCCCCCCCCCCAATCTACAACTTCAAAACTTCTCTGGCTAGCGCAGCCAGGGCGCAGGGGCAGCGCCCAGGAAGGCTGGTGCGTCTTTAAACCGCTGCTGGCGGCTGAGTCACAGCCCCTCGCTTGGGTGTGTCCTTCGCTCGCTCCCTCCCTCTTAGGTCACTCTTTCACCCTTCGAGTTAAAACTGCCGCCAACTTCCGAGGCGGCCTCATTGCCCAGCGGCCACCAGCCTCGGACAGGTCTGGTCCGCCTTCCTCGCCCCGTCCTCTCGTGTCCCCGCGCATCGGGACCCTCCAGCCGCACACGCTTGCACTCTGGGTTCACTCGACACCATGGACAAGTTCTGGTGGCGCGCAGCCTGGGGACTCTGCCTCCTGCAGCTGAGCCTGGCCCAGGTCCACATCGGTGAGTGCCGCCGCGGCCGGGGCAGCGCGAGTGGGAGCCTGGGTAGCCTGGGTCCCGCAGGAGCCCCACAGTAGGAGCGGCCCGCGGGGAGGGACTGCAGTCAGGTGGGCGGCGAGCGACTTGGGCTCGGGGAAGCAAGGCTGGGGTTTGCTCTAAGCGTTCGGAGAGTTTGTTGGTGGTGAGCACTGTTTTCTTGTTAAAGGGAAAAGAGAAAGAGAGAAGAAAAGTTTGCCGGGCAGGCTGCCCGCGCGCAATCTTGGGTGAGGTCGCTAGGGCTGGAGCACATGGCAGAAAGTAACTGTACTGGCATTGCTCACAGCGCAGCAGCCGGTGCCTGGACTAACCGGCTCCCGTGCCCAAGGGCTGGCTGGGGCGGGGCAGGGATAGGGGCTGGCGGCCAGGTGGCCCCGGAGTCACACATGTGAGAGGCCTTGGCCATGAGCTTTCCAGAAGGGCCTCCTGGGAAGTGGCAAGGATGCGTCCCCACGGAACCTGGTTTCTGAAGCTCCCACAGTCTGCTCCTGTCCCTGACCACCTCAAGGCTTGTGGGAACTTGAACCAGCTCTGCGGAGAGATCCTGAGTATCTGTGGCTCCCGCCTGGGGCAGGGAGGACCCTTAGGTGACAGGGCCGGTTGCTCAGTCCTTGCCACCTCCTGGTATACCAATCAGCCTGGGGAAACCCAACAGTAAGTGGCTCCTGTTCCCTGCCAGGAAACCTCAGAGTGGGAGGGGATCCTGGATACCAGGGAGGTATCAGAAATCCAGAAATCCGGGCACCAAGGCTCCAGGTCCCATCCAAACCGCCTTGGTGGCTGTGGAGGGGAGGGGCTGTATGTGAGTTACTCCCGCATGGCTCAACTCCAGGCAATCATTTTCTTTGTCCGTATATGAGGAGATAATTACATGGCCGATTTGCTTATCGCTAGCAAAATTAATTTTTCTTTTAAGAAGTGCCAGCAGGGTCATTAAGACAGCTCAGCCTATGGTTAATTCTACTCAGCAGTATTTATTAAACCCAGTTCTGGGGAAGCACCAAAAAAAAAAATAAGCAAAAGACACAGTCCAGCCTGGGTACTCTAGAATGAGGATAGGTGGAGATCTAGAATGTTGATTCCTAATGCAGAAGCAGTACAAATAATAATAACAGCAAAAGTAGTAAGAGCTGCCGTTGATGGCAGCCTTTCACTGTTGCGGGCGCTCTGTGTATTATCTCATTTTACACTCACAAGGGCCAAATGAGAAGTGTCCTTGTTTACAGGAGATAAACTTAGGCTCAGAGAGGTTAAGTAACTTTTCGGTGTTCACACAGCCAGGGGTGGCACAGGATATGAACTCAGATTGATCAAGTCCCAAAGCCTAAGGCTTGGTCAAAAAAAGTTAGAATATATGGGATGGGCAAAGTCAGAAAGGATTTCAGGGGAAGGGGAGTTCTGGTGGACCAGAGGCCATAGTAGAAGCTTCCAGAAGGGAACTGGAGCTCAAAAGGCAAAAACCATTGCACCTGGCTTCCTGGGAAGTGCGCTTTGTGTTCCCACCAGTGATGTCTTCTGCATTGTCTGAGGATTCAGACTCCTAACTCTGCCCAGTCTGTCTCCTTTTTCTTCTAAAGGGCCCCACCTGCAAATACTGGGTGTTGTCCTTACCCTCAGGCTTTCCTAGAGTCCAGCAAGCTTCCTTTTGCCTCGGAAAGGGTTTCTGTTATCATTTGGGCAGCATCGTTTGAAGGAAGCACAGGGAAGTATCAATGACTGCCTGACTTCCACTTTCATGCGCTTGTAAATTTGTTCGGAAGGAACTAAGACTGGAGAAGGCAACCTGACTTAGCAGAGGGCTTAGTTCTAGGTGGGCAGACTTGGGAGGAGAAAAGGAAAAGGGGGGAAATTCCTATTCCTGGAGTGGTGTGCTCTGGAAGACAAAGAGGAAACTTGGGGCTGAGTGGGGAGAGGAAGGCAGAGTGCAGTCTTTGTATCAGAAATCAACAAGTAAAAAATGGCCAAAGGTAGTTAAGGCACGTTGGATACAAAAACTCAAACAGTTGGAGAACAGGGATCTTGAAAGAGTCGTTGTATGTGTTTGTGCCCGGGGGGTGGCTTTAGGTAGAGGGTCCCAGGGCTGAGTCCTCCTTTCCCCTCTGGTGAGAGGTCCTTGCTGGAGAACTGTATCTCTGGTGTTGAGAAAGAGGGGTGTGTCTGAGAGCCCTGAGGCTTGGGGTGGCAAGTACCTTTTTGCTGCCACTGGGAATTAGAGAGGCCTCCTTTGCTGGGAGTTAGAGATTTGGCTGTTTTCCCACGTGAAGAAACAAAGAAGCAAAGCTCCATCCTGCTGAGGTTAGCATGGGTGAATTCAGTTATTCCCTTGATATGCATTAGACATGGACTTCTTGCAAAATGTGGTGACGAGTATGTGTGTTGGAAAGCTGGCAGCTGGTGGGAAAAGGCTCCATTTTCTTTCAAAATACCCCATGCTGGACTGAATGAAATTCCTAATTTATGACAGATCCTCTAGCATTCATTCAAGAAATATTTTCCGATTCACTGTCATAGACTCAGAGACAGGGATTCTAAGGAGCATTTAGAAAAACCCCTTGTGTCTTTCTCAAGAGGAAGTTGACTGCAAGAGACGGGCTGGTGACTTCCCTTTTCTGGGACATGTTACGGTGTTAAAGCAGGGCACTTTTCACACATGCTGTCTCAGAAAAACCCTTGCCGTCCTAGGAGCCCTACCCCACTCCCTGCAGTTCGAGGAGGCAACATTTGTTTAATACCTTGAATACTATCTTGTACGCTCATTACAACTCTGCACAACATACCCAGTTGGAGTTTAACATAAGAATAATGATATCTGTGTCTTACCATAAAGCAAAGTGTACTTGAGAAATACTCTGTCTTGTTCCAAGGCTCCTAGTTCCTCCCGGAACATCACTAGCTGCTTAGGAGCACCCACTTTAAAGAGCCAGACACTCTGCTATTGCACCAGATGGTTCTATACAAAGCAGGGCCTGAAGTCCCTAGGAAATGCCACCTGCTGTGCACTGACTGTGCTAGGCCTTAAGCTATGGGGTTTGGGGTTTAGCATAGGTTCTCCTATGTAAGCCTCGTAATAGCCCTATATATTAGTATTTTAACTCCATCTTCCTGATAGAGAAATGGAGGTTCACTTAGGGAGATGAAGTCACTTGCTCCAGGCTGCAGTGGTCCACTTGGGATTCCCCATTGTCTACCCCACCCCCGTTGTCACTTCCATGCCTGCGCCCCTTCCATTCTGTGAGGAATTGCCATGGTTCCCCTGCCCTCCCTGTCCCCCGTGGCTGGCATAACCTGGCAGGAGGCTTCTCTCTCCACCCTCTGGCAGGCTGTGGACTCTTGGCTGTTCTGCCCTGCCCTGCCCTGTCCTGACCTGTCTCTTTCCAGGCTTGGCCACAGCTGTCAGAGATGCCAACCTAGTTATTTGGTGCTAAAATAAGTCAATTTCCTTATCAGAGTCCAGCTGCCCTTCTAGACATGCTCTCATTTGCAGGCTTGGAAAAAAGGGAGAGGTTGCTCCCCGTCTAAGAGACAAGTCAGGGCAATGCTCTCTGTCTAAAAATTGAGAAAGAGGCCTGCAGACTATCATGCTGGCCCTGCAGGCTTTTCAGATGCAGTGACCCACCCAGCCCCTTTGCGGCATGCTTATTAGCCAGTTCTGTGTGGCCCCAGTGAGGAAAAATCTTGAGGTCCTGGACAGTGGGCTGCCGTGGATCTCTGCAAAAGTCATGAGGCCACCTAAGCAAGGTTTCAAATCAGCCTGTGGTGTTAGGGGCTTCTGGGCTGAGGTCCCTTAGTGAGAAGAGGTAGTGAGAGGCGAGCTGGGCCTCTGCAGGGGTCGGTCCTGGGGCTGAGGACAAGATACAAACCACAGTTGTGTTTCCCCAGCACCTCCATTTTGGCCCACTCCACCCAGAGCCCGAGAAGGAAGTGATTCTTGGGAAAGAATGAGCTGAAGCAGGTGGCAGACGGTCAACATAGTTTTCATGAGGGATCTTTTCTATCTCAGAGAGAAATTCTGAGGATTTGCACAGTGAGAAGCTGATGACTCAGTTTCCTTTGTGTCTCTGCTTGAATGAGGACAAGGATGCTCTTTGGGGAAGAGCTGGTGCCTTCCACTTGAAATTCAGGCTCCACTTTTCACTCAGCAAGTGAAATTGTTCTTAAAAAGCATAGTACCAGCCAGGTGTGGTGGAACAAGCCTGCAATCCCAGTACTCAGGGAGGCCGAGGCAGAAGAATTGAAAGTTTGAGCCAAGCCCAAGCAGCTTAGGAAGATCCTTTTGCAACATAAAAAAAAATCAAAAGAGGGCTGGGGATGTAGCTCAGTGCAAAGGCTCTGTGATTAATCCCCAGTATGAAAAAGAAGCCATACTTTCTCTAAACCAGCCAACAGGCCAACAAATGCAAAGTCAGCCTCATTTGCCAGAGGAATGAATGGGGTAATTCTCTTCTCTCTGTCTTCTACAGCCCTGTGAGATCCCCTTAATGCCAGGGACTGGGTTTGTGATCTTTGGTGATGGAGGCATGGCTTTGGGCAGGGCTGAGGAGAGGGCTTGGCCATCCAGCTACCCGAGCTCAGCTGTCTGTTTGTGGCTTGAGTGGCTATGGCTGAGGATGCCTGTCTGAGGACAGGGTTACTAGATAGTTGGGCTGAGAAGGGAGAGGGAGCCAGGAACGATGATGACACCACCCCTAAATTTAAGTTTCAAAATGAAACACTCCCCAGCAGTGCCCAGCTTGCAAGTCTAATGATGTGGGAGTTGCGGATCTGAAGTTGGAATCCTTGGGTGAGAGACCCACACCCACCAGACCCCCATGCCTGCTTCTGCAGAGTGGTGGTAGCTGGGAGAGAAGCAGAAGGGCCTCTCAGAAGATTCTGGCTGTCTTCAGTGTGTCTCTGAGTAATCAGGCAGCTGCTATCCAACATGGTGATGCTGCAGGTCCTGAAGGGATAGAGCCACAGGGAAGCCTGAT